TTTTTTTTTTTTTTTTTTTTTATTTTTAAGTTTTTTCACCTATATGTTTGACCCTTTAATGAATGTAACTTCACAGTATAAAGGAAGACGAACATATTCTCCCTTGCAATCTCAGACTCTGGCTCAGAAAGTCCATCTGATGTTCAGGATATATACTTTCAGTGAAATTAGTGAGAAAAAAGTGACTATTTTCTTTTAAAGGGGGAATTTCTGTGTGCTTGTCATGCGTTACCAATGGTAACGTTATATATAGACACAAAAGAAAATCACCAAATTCACATATTTAAGCAAAACTACATTAAGTAAATATCTACAACCAGCGAGAGAAATTCAGAGGTAAGTATAATAATTTAGTCCATGAGTAAAACGAAATCTTTTATACCTTTAAAGAGAAGATATTTCATTTTCCTGGCCAAATTTAAAGCTGCAATATTGGCTTTTAAGGTAAAGTGTAAAAAAAAAAAATAAAAAATTACTCCTAACACCCGTTCCCGTGAAACCCTTTTAAAGGATGCCTGCATTTCATTATTTTAAGCCCCGCTTTTCGAAGGAAAAAAGGGGGAGGGGGAGAAAAGGCAAACAGAGAAGGGGAAAGCTCCCAGTATATAGAAATATGGCAACGCTTAAATTCTTAATTGTGCAGCTACGTACAGTCCGAGTTACAGCACTTATATTTTAAAAGAACGCACCTTTAACCAGGATTGTTTACTTTTCAGAGAGACAGATAGGGAGAAACGTATTTGTACGTCTTGAAATGGTGTTTTTGTGTTTCAAAGCTTAGAGGAACAATTTGGCCCCGGGAAAGGCTGGAGGAAGAGGGGAGGTTCACACACGGCATTTTGTGCTTTAGCGTGACTTTAGTCCGCCAACCCCCCAAAGTAGCTCTTAAGAGGTTAAGGACATATTGAGAGCGCCTAAAATCGTTAATCCATACAGGTGCAGATGAATACAGCCTAGGAAAATGATACTGGCTCTTTAAACCATAAAGATGTGTTTATAGGTTCATCAAGAGAAATTAAAGTTGGCTGTGAGCTCACGAATCCTATTCTCTCTGTTCATTTTCTTCAGTTTCATTCTGCGGTTCTGAAACCAGATTTTAACTTGTCTGTCTGTGAGGTGGACTGTGCGGCTGATCTCTAGGCGACGCTCACGAGTCAGGTACATATTGAATAGAAACTCCTTTTCCAGCTCGAGAGTTTGATGCTTGGTATAGGGGCATCGTTTCTTTCTGCCACTTTTTGCCGTGAGCCAGTTTGCTGCATTTTCTCCTTTTGAATTGCCTAGTTTTGAGAAAGTAAAAAATGGACGTTACCATCGGGTAGGAGGCAAAGAGCTGTGGGGAGAGGGTGGAAGGAGCGTCTGTGCGTGTGTCTGTGTCTGTGTGTGCGATGGGCTCACCCCGCCAGCTGCGGAGAACTGGAATGTGGGGTGTCCTTGAGGGAACCGAGGGCTTCAAAGCGGTTTCCCAAAGGTTTTGGATATATCCGGGTAAGAACTGCCACTGCTCAAAAACCTCCGGACAGCTTCTGGTGGGGCAGCGTGCCCCAGACTGTAGCACATCTCCGACCCTCCGAAAGGAGCTCCTACCCTCTCCCTGTCGGCCATTCCGAGCCCTCTGGTACTGGGGGCAGTTGGTGAAGGGCCTGCAGTCTTATTTCCTTCCCCCCAGGCACCTGCTTCCAAAAAGACAAAGCCTCTGGATCCGGACTTTGTAATTGTGCTACGGAGGTGGAAAACAAGGTGAGATGGGGAGCCGGAGCCTCCCCGCCTTCAGCCCCTGCCTTTCCAGGGAGCTTCGCCATGGCCTTCTCATGTCCAACCATTTCGGGGACGAAAAAAATACAGTAATAACGATAATAAAAACGTTTTGAGGTGATTTCTATCAGTGGAACTGACTGGGAAAGAGGTAACACCAATCCCTTGATGGCTCAGAGTGGTTAGTGGTTTGGGGTTGGCTCTCTATCAGTTTTTAGCTGACCCTTCTTTTTTTTCTTTTCTTTAAATGCTACTTTCCATCGGGTCTCCTGAAAGGAATAAAAGGGTGTCCGAAAAGCGAACAGAGAGAAGCTCCTGCAAAGTCTGCCATCCGGGGAAGGGGAGTTATTTTTTGCCATGGGGACACGAAAGGGGAATAAAGAAGGAAATGTATAAATAACAGCTCTGTTATCTAGTGTAGATGCTGAAGGATATTCGCCGTGCATTCACCAGTCTAATTTGATAGCAGCTCATAGATGGCACATTTCAGCGCGGTTGTTATTCCGAAAAGCATTCTGGATCGTAAAATATAACTTACCGCGTTAATAGGTTTATTTATTGGCACTGCCTATTGCTTATTTTGGATGCTTTACAAACATCTCTGTTATCTGGTAGGCACCTTCACATCACGGGGGAGAGATTGATCTTGTTTTTCTATATGTTTTAGCAGCATGCAGGCTACAGTTGCCCATAGAGGAGGCTGTAAGGGTTTTAAACTATAGGATGGACATTAATTTTTACGGCAACCCCATGCCCGAATATTACAAAGTTCAGAAGGTCAGTCTGAGCAGCGCTTCTTGGCAGCCCCGAGGGGCAGCTGGGATCCTCCTTTCGCATTTCAATGCCACTATGATCCTCAACGACTATTTTTTTCCTTACTTTCTTTCTTTCTTTCTTTTTCTTTTTTTTTTTTTTTCCCTCTCTTTCTCTTTAATCATCACTAACCACCATCACCGTCATATTTTGCTTACCTACAGGCTCTTTCTCTGGAGAAGCTTTGCTGCTCTCTGACGGAGCAGGAGAGAGCTCCTCTGCGGTGGAAGATGAAGCCTGAGTCTCGTCCTCCCTCTGGGAGACGCACGCCAAGGGGCTTGGGGAGCGTTCCTCATCCTCCTTCCTGCCCGAGTCCGGGACGGGAGGCAAAGATGGAGGCGTCTGGAAGCGGCCGGGGGGCTGCGGAGGGAAAGGGGCAGCCCCGGCTGGCCCCGCGCCGTAGTTCTTGGAAGTGCCATAAGCCTGGGAGAGGCGGAAGTAGCCCGGGACGGGGACCCCGCCGCCGCTGCTGGCTGGGCTGACCTCGGCACTCAGCCGGGGGAAGGGAGCGAGGTCTGTGGCGGCCGAGCCCTTGGGGCATTTCTCTGAGTCATAGAGGCAGTAGGAGCTCTCCTCCTTAATGCTTGTAGCGAAGGAGCACGAGGTGGCCTGCTGGCTCTCCGGCTCTTCCATGCGACAGGACCGGGGAGGATCTAGCCACACTTCCATCCCTGACACGTAGGAGTGCGAGTTGGGGACCATGCTTTGAGAAGTACCTTCATTGCGTTTGCCCAGAACGGGGAAAAGTCCGCAGCTTTGCAGTCCGTAGGACAGATCGGACGCCTGTGGCAGGTAGATACCACTGTTGGGATAGTAGCCGCCTCCGCCTCCGCCTCCGCCTCCTGCTCCCGCCGCTTCCCCTCTGCCCGAGCTGATCAGGGAGTCTACCAAAAAAGAGTTTGCAGCCGGGCTCTCGGAGCATGACATTGTTGTGGAATAATTTGGCGAAGGGAGCAGATAGCCCTTTCTGGCTGACATTTCTTGTGCAAAACATGCTGAATATGATGAGAGATACCCCCGCACCACGGCAGGCGCCCGCAGCCAATGGAAGCCCGGGCCTCCCCAGCAACCCCTCCCCGTCTGGTTTCGTATGCACAGAGCTGCTCTCAGGTCGACCTCTGAATTTGGAAGATAGATGTATATTAATGTGTAATATGGATTTCCATACACACAGGCGCGCGCACTTCCACCATATGGGCGACCGCCTGCGCCCAGGCAGGAACCGTGCTCCCGGGAAGG